CAAATAAGTATGGTATGAAAATATATCTTATGATAAATCTAATGATACTTATTTAATATTATAAATATTGATATTTTTTATTTATAAAGTTAGTCAAACTTAAGATACTTTGGTGATGTTCGCTGGTTTGAACATGTCCAGCCAGCCGGCTGGTTCCCCTCACATGTTATTGTTCATCAAACCAGCCGAACAGTGTTTTTCTCTCACAACAAACCAGTCGGAACAGTGTTTTTCAGCAAAGTTTCAGACCAGCGAACGGGGCCTTTAACTTAGTATTGTACTAGAATTGTATTATTCTGTAGACGAAGAGAGAGCTCTAGTAGCAAGCTAATCTAAACAAAGCCTTAGACCATCGATAATGATACCCTCGCGGCGTCCGGAAGGACGGACGCGGCGCTTCACGGGCTTGCGCACTATAGCCCAACAGCGCCAGCTCTCTAATCTCTCTGAAAAATATCTCATCCACTTCCCACCAGGAGTAATCCTCCCCACTCCACTCGTTCACGGCTCCTTTGTCTCTCTCTCAAAAATATCTCCTCCACTCCCCATCGGGGTCATCCTCTCCACCCGTTCCATGGCCAGCAGCACACTGCTCAGCATCCTTGCCCATGCCCGAACTCCACACTGCCGTGGGCGGGCCCCACGCCTTCCTCTCAATCACATGGCCTCATGATACAGCTGTGGTTTTCGTGCCCTGCACAGTGTGTGCTCGCCCGACCTGCGTGGGTCTAAGCTGCGCCAGCCGCAGGTGCTCGCCCCTGCCCTCTTGCTCGCCAGGGGTGCTCATGGCCTCGCGCAGGTGGTGCTCGCCACTCCGTTGGCGCACCGACGAGCTCGATGCGCCATCATCGAGCTCCACAACGTTGAGCTCCATTCGTCCAAGCAGCAAGGTGATATTGTACTGAAAGCGCATGTTGTAAGCGTATATTTCAAGTGTTTCAGATGGATGTTGCAAAAGTGGATCAGGATGTTGCATATATTGCAATGCTTGTACAAGTATGTCTCAAAGGTTTGTTCATAATGTTTCATCTGTGTTTTCGGACGTATGTTGCAAGTGTTTTTATCTAGATATTGCATATGTTTCACACATAAGTTGCAAGTGTTTTATCTGGATGTTGCATATGTTTCACAAATATGTTGCAGGTGTTTCATCTGGATGTTGTATATGTTTTTCAATGGCTACACACGTGTTTTCCTGGTGTTTCAGACGTATGTTGCAAGTGTTTCAACTATTTCAGACATGTTGTGTTTCAACTATTTCAGACATATGTTGTAAGTGTTTCATCTAAATGTTGCAAAAATAGATTTGTTATTGCACATGTTGCAGTGGGACCCATTTATCATAGCCGTCTGCTTCAGCGACTAGGCCCACCTACGGAGAGGGCGTGAGCAGTAGGCACAGAAAAGAGTGCGGGCATAGATCGAGACGCGGCCCCCGCATGCGCGCAGGTGTGGAAAACGGGGCGGCACGGCCCCCCACGTGAGCAGGCGCTGCAGCTGGCGCAGCAACATGCCTACGCGGAGCAGCGGAGGTGCCTATGCGGAGCAGCGGAGGCGCGGGCAGGCGTGGGCTGGGCGTGCGGACACTAGTCTCGGTCCGGACTTCAGGCACTAGACCTGCCGTTAGACCATACGTAGCGGGACTGTGGGTATCCTATCGTTTAGATCACGTTTGGAAAGCAAAAAATTCACATGATTTACACAAAAAAATCATAGAAAACAGTTTAATTTTATAGGAAAAAAACGCAGAATCAGAAAAGAAAAATCCGAATTCTAAACAGGGCCTCAGTGTGAAACAGTCCTGTGATGCATTACCTGGGACATCGGTATTGGAAAGCGACCAGAGGAGAAGGCCGCAGAGGAGCACGACGACGGGGATGAGGTGGACGAGGGCGCGAGCGAGGTCAGCGCGCGAGGCATCCAAGGCCTCCTTCTTGGCCACGTCGGACCGCGGGTCATACGTCGGCAGCTGGTCCACGTCCATCACGCCCGCCGTCGAGCTCGGCCCTGGCGCCGCTGCCCCGGCCGCCGCTAACGGCGACACGGACGACGACGATGACTGCAGGTAATAGCTCGATGACCGGTGCATCTCTCCTTCCTCTCTGTCTCCTCTTTAGTGGATGAGGGCACTACTCCTGTGTCGTCGTGTGCGGTATGGTGGCGTGCTATGGCTATGGAATCTTAGAAGCCTCTTGTGCTGCGTCGCGCTAGCAGCTGGCTGGCTTCGCGCAGGTGTCGCTGGCATCTTCCCGCCGTGCCCGCCATTGCCACAGCATGTCAGCATGGGTCCTTAATGTTAGTGATGCTGATAAGTGGACACTGGGCGTCACACTCTATTCTATCTATATATAGAAAAATATGCCATCCAATCAGGCATTTTGAATCTTTCTAACAAACGCTTCACTTCGCTAATGCATGGTTTACTATGTTGATGAGCACTACCAGGGTAGCCACATATAAATCAGGCTGTTTATGTTGAAGGTTGCATTGCAGAGAAGAGAGAACAAGCTTGTCCTTCATTCTTCGAAGTAGATTTGGCCAGGGATGAGAGATATAGAGCTATGATAATCTATGAGATCGCAGTGACTCCCTGTTATCCTAATTACACAAGATTACCAAATGTGATAATTTGACTAGCAAGAAGAAATATATGTGAAAATACATTAATGACTTTCTCACGATGAATCTAGTAAAATATGTTTTTAAACGTGCAGCACATGTATTTCATTAAGAAGAATGAAGTCTAATATGATTATTTATGTGGCCAAAGGAACAAAAGATATTTCAAAGAATGGGGAAGAACCATGAGCAAACCGACATAAAAAAGGAAAGGGCCAAGGAACCATATATAGGCACCAGGAAAATGGCACGAGGTTCTTAAAAGCAGGTCAAGCCAAGTAGACACGTCCTCCACAATGGTCCATAAGAGAACAGCCGGTTATAGACTAGTGGAACATCGGGGTTTTTTTTCTTTTGGTTCTGTTCCTTCCAAGACTTCAAGAGACCAAGACAACTAGGGTGTCAAACTTGCTTGTTTTGGAAAAAATAAATGGCTCGCCCCCAACCCCTTGAGCAGAGCCTACCAGAGATCCATTCTTTTGCCAAAAATAAGCTTATCTCAGTCAGTCATAGAAATGTTCAACCTACCTCTCTTTCAAATTGCCTTCACACAGCTGCAAAGTCTGCAACAACTAATGAAGCTACAACTCTACAAAATAGTGATGATGTCTGGTCCTATAGCAGGAGCTCGAGCAAATTTCTCTCCTCAAGAGTCTACAAAAAGCTGATTGGTCACCATCCAACCAACCCAGCTTTCAGTTGGGTCTGAAAATGCTTATGTGAGCCTAAGCACAAGGTTTTCTGTTGGTTGCTTCTCAAAGATAGACTGAGCACAAGGAATATCCTTAGAAGGAAGCACATGAACCTGGATTCATACAACTGTGAACTCTGTGCCCTTGGAGTTGAAGAAACCACTGAACATCTCTTCTTACATTGCCCCTTTGCTTAGCAATGTTGGGGCCTGATCAGTTTAGCAACTTCCTTGGACAGTGGGACTTTTGAAAACTTTACTGCCTTTAAGGATCAGATCAATTCTCAGTTCTTCATGGTGGCAATCGTCCTCATGTGTTGGACGATTTGGCTGCCCAGAAACGAACTGATCTTCAATGAAAATCAAGTAACCATACAAGAGTGCACAAGAATCTTTCTTAAAGAAGCAAGATTGGTCTCCCTGAGGGTGACGGCCTATCAACTTTGTTTGATCAATGAATTCAAGCTTTAGAAACGATCTAAACCCCGGCCTTTTATCTTATTTTCTGTTTCCTTCTTTGTCTCTTGAAGCTGTTCTTCTTCCTCTTGTAGTTTCTCCCAGTTTCTCTTTGTTTTTGTCTTTTTCCCTTTGTTGTAAATAACTCTCTTTCCCGTTTCAATAAAATTATCTGTAAGGGCTGCAGCCCCGTGTCATGGCTAATCAGACTACTTGTAAATAGTGGCTGTGATTTTAAATATATATGACGTTTATTTAGGATAAGCCAATCAGTTCAAAAATGAACTAGTAATTAGCTTGTCCTAAACATCATATATTTACAAAGGGAGGGAGCATCAGACAATGCAACAAACAATATCACATACACATATCAAATATACTTAAATGTAAAGGTAGTGGCGACCAGAAGTATTTACAACATTTGATAGAGTAAAAATTGAACATTCAGGTCAGATCCAACAAAAAAAATCATAACTAGATGTTAGAATTCATAGCATGTGCATGTTACACAAAATTATCAACCAAGGACTGGAGCTTAAGATTTTATTAAAAAAAACTTTTCTCCAAAAGGACAGCAAAAGCTTTACTGCAACTAGGAGAAAATAAAACACAAAGTACCAGCCCAATTATTTGAGTGGAAACCGGGCCAAAAACCACAGAGCGTACCCAGTGCAGAGAGCTCCCGCTCTGTGCTAGGCCTTTTTGCGAGGAGACCGCGACTCGAACCCGGGACCTTCCAGTCACAGGCGGTAAGACTCTACCGCTTGCACCAGGCCCGCCCTTCAAAAACCACACAACTAGGAAATTTTGATAAAAAAAAACTCTACAAGAAAAAATATACTGGAAAGGAAAATTACAACTGGTAAAGACAAAGTAATGTATGGGATGGGATCGAATGGAATGGAAAATATCATAAAGGAGCAACAGTGATGTAGAAGTCAAATAGTAAAAACATCAGATTGGCTAGCATTCATGTCCCACTTGCCTTTGCTTCTATCTGACAATGTTAAAAGTTCACTTCATTTACAGTGCAAGTTTCCTAAATTTCAATCTGCTGATGTCGCAGGTTAAGGTTCTTCATACTTAACTGGCAGAATTTGAAACAGGATTTTCAGCATCTGCAAGACTTGCTTCCAAAAGTTTCAAGCTAACTGGTACTCCCTCCGGTCGGAAAAACATGATGTTTCCGACTGGAGGCTTGAACAAGCAGCAAGCAATCCTGGCTGTTGGAACCTCAACTATTAGTCGGAGGGAGTATATTATATGTAGTATCATCAGGCATGACTCCACTGCTCAGCATCTTATCATGCAATTGGAATGCCTCTTGCAGCTTACCATCACGGATGTGTGCATTTATCAGCATGTTATAAGTAACAGTATTTGGACACACATCTAATCTTCTCATATCGTCCAATAACCTCTTAGCACCATCAATGTCTCCACTTCGGCAAAGACCATGGGTTAGCGCTGTGAAAGTTTTATCATCAGGAATATTGTGATTGGCCAACATCTCTGAGTACAGTTCCAAAGCAAAGGCCACATTGCCAACTTTTGAGAACCCATCAATTAAGGTTGTATAGATTTCTGTATCAGCAACAATTCTTTGTTTGATCATGCTATAATAGAACTTCGAAGCTTCTGCCATCATTTTCAAATTCTTGTACCCTGTAACAAAACTATTGTAGACAGTGACATCTAGTTTTAAACCATCTTTTAACAGAAGAACCAAAAAATGGAGTGCATGAGACATATTCCCCTGTTTGCAAAACATATTTATGAAAGCATTGTATGCAGCAATGTCAGGTTGAATGCCATTGCACCTCATGTAAATGAGCAGCTTCACTGCGAGATCACAGCAGTTGGTCCTACAGTAACCATCTATAAAACTGGTATATGTTACTATATTGGGGGTTATACCTTTCTCACACATCTGCCGATACATAGCCAATGCAGAGCCCATCATACCAGCTTTCACAAATCCATTAATGATACTATTGTATGTCATTGTGGTTGGAACAAAACCTTCACTTAAAAATCTCTTCAACATTTCATCAACTTCACAAACACAATCGACCATGCAAAGTCCATTAATTAGAATGTTATATGTATACTCACCGCAAGAAACTCCATTCTGATGCATTTCATTAAGAAGGGCATAGGCCTTGTCAAAAGCTTTCTTCTTGATGTACCCTTTCATCAGAGTTGTGTAAGTGACCTCATTAGGTGGGTATCCTTTACCAGGCATCTCAGAGTATAACTTGAGTGCTTCATCCATGCACCCCTTCTCACAGTACCCCAGCAGCAGACTGTGGTATGTCACAATAGAAGGTTTGACTCCTGCTTCCTTCATCTTATCCCATAAGTTGACTGCCTCGTGGAGTTTGTGATGATTACTGAGCCAATGAATTAAACAACCGTATGTGAAGACATCCGGTACCCCAGTATCAACCACAAGATCAAACAAGGCAATGGCATCCTTCCACTGTTTGTCTCTTAGGAGGCCTTTGATCACCAAATTGAACTCATATGTGCTCGGCAACAATCCCTGCTCTATCATCTGGTGGCATAGCTTATATGTCTCATCTGTCATCCCCTCTGCATCACAACCTTTGATAAGGACCCCATATGTCACATTGGTCGGTGTCACACCATCCCTGACAGCCTCATCAAACAAATCTAATGCTTTCCCAATTTCTCCATGCAAGCAATATCCGTGCATCAACGTCGTCGCGAGAATCACATCCATCTTCTTCCCCGTGGCCAGCAGCATCTGATCCTTCAGCCGCAATGCCTCATCCATCCTCCCCACCTTCACAAGCACACCCACCACAGAATTGTACGTAAAATCCCGGGGCTTGAGCCCTGCCTCCATCATCTTCCCCAGCACCTGGACTGCTCGGTCTGCATCGCGTAGCTTGCACAAACCTGTGATTGTGATGGCATAAACGCGCTCGTCGGGCTTGACCCCGGCACCGGCCATTTCATCGAACAGCCTGACGGCGTCACCGTGCATCCCTCCCCCGACGCAGGCCCGCATCACGACGTCGTACATCTTAGCATCCGCGTAGTACCCCTTGCACCGCATCTCGTCGAACAGCGTGAGCGCATCAGCAGCCGATGCGCCCCGTGCCGTGGCGACGAGCAGGTCGGTGCGGGACTTGGCGTCCGGGACAACGCCCCTCGTGACCATGCGAGAGTATGCGGCCGCGGCGGCCGCGCAGTCGCGGGCGGCGCGGGAGAGGCAAGTGAGGACGTGGCTGAGGAGCGTGACCGCGGCCGGCGAGCCAGCGTCCGCGGCGGAGAGGACGGCGTCGACGAGCTCGTTCGGCGGGAGGCGCGTATGCAGCGCGGCGGAACGGAGCAGATGGAAGGCGTGCGGACCGTCGGGCGATGAGGCGAGGAGTGCGCGGAGTGTGGAAGCGAGGTCATCGGCGACGCCGTGGCCACGGGCGGCAGATGGTCTGGCGAATTGTGTGGAGAGGGGCTGGGCGGCGCTCTGCGGCGGCGGGGCCGGAGAGGAAGGTGCCGCGGTGGAGGTGGCAGCGGCGGCGGCGGCGGTGTTAAGGCTGCGCCGTGGGAACAGTGAGGAGGCGGCGGCGAGGAGTCGTGGTGGGCGCATGGTGGCGCCGAAGGGGTTCAGCCGTTCAGTTCAGGGTTCTCAGAATTCTGATGGAATAGCGGTTGCATTTCTTCATTCTGGTTCAGTTTCATCAGAACCCCAACACTTTTTTACAAATTGCTAAAAAAATTGAACTTTTTAGAAATGGTGACTAATAATGCATGCTGATTTAATGCCCAAAACTATGTCAGTCTCAGAAACTTCAGCAGAAGTAAATATATTTGCTCCATTAAGTCAATCTCTGTGAGTTTCATGTCACTAAGACCCAGTGTGTTGGAAACAGTGTAAACAAATTTTATTATCATGAAACTCATTTCATCCCATGAAACTTTTGTCATATCTCTCTTAATCAATCACATGAACCTTTCCTTTTTATCATATCTATCTTCATCGATACTATGTAAGATCTACTTATTTAATGCCCAAACTGTTATGAAACCCCATCGAACTGGCCTTAACCATTGGTTGCAAGTAGTCCCTCTCTCCGGAAACAAAATACAGTTCAAGCATAATACTAAGTCAAAGAATCTTGAGTTTGACGATGTTTATGATATAGATTCTTCCTTGAGTATATTTTTATACTTGCTATACACATTTTATATCATAAATATTGTCAAACTTTAAATAATTTAAGATTAGAACTAGAATTGCATCGCAGGAAGTAGGTTCCGAGTTCCTTAAAGCTTAGATCAACAATTATTACAACAGCCTCATCCAGGCATGCATCAATGGGTCAAATGTCACAATTCCAAAATTCATTCACCATGACAATATAGGCATGTGGGTCACATGTCACAATTCCAAAATTCATTCGCCATGACAATATAGGCATGTGACGGAGGGAAGTATGCGCAGAAACAGCTTCTCAATTGAATGGTACACTTTTGTTGATACATACACGGTGTCCTCACCAAATGGCCAAACCTACAAAGTGCGTTGCAATGTGAGAATCATCTTTCGAAAGAGTGCTACCATACCAAAGCAATAAGGTTCAAAAAGTGAACTGGAGACCAACACATGTAAACCCACGGAGAAGTGCAGAAGAACATATCGAACTTAAATACCAACCTTGCTTAAATCAAGTATAGAAAAGTTTCGGCAGATTGCGGCCAGTGTTTGTGCCAGGTTAATGTCACCAAGGCTGACTGGACTTCTCTATGCCTCAGGCCTCAGCAAAGAGATAATGCAGCAAAGGACCCACAACTGCTATACTCAGACTATTACCCAGCATAGCATACCTGCAACAAGAGGATTTCAAAACCTATATGACAACCTGTAATTATAAACACTATTTAGATAGTGACCCATTATTTTTTACAAAACAAATAGATTTATCTCTCATGCTTCTTATATGTACTGCAATTCAAATGCTCTTGTAGTTTACTGAAGCAACTCAGAAGTGTATAATGGAACCTAAACTCACTGTTGCCTAAGGCTTATGCAATCTGGGAAGTTGAAACTTGAAGGGAAGGAATGGAAATTGGCGACCTGAAAAATTATATAAACAACATCAAGAGCCAGAGGAAGGATTTAAACATCTGAAGTGTAAACAGGCAGCTACCTCTCGAGGGGTGAAGAATCGTAGACCCAACTCCTTCAGGGAAGAAATTTGAAGCTTCTCTTCAGGAACCCATTTGAGGTTCTAGTATTTGAAGTAAGATTATCATTAGGCAAAATCAGACACCATATAAATGAGTGAAATCTAGACAAAATGAGAAGAGTGATGATAATGAATCTTACTTCAGATGTAGCCAACAAGGAGCCTGTCCCCTTCACATAACGATAGTAGCTTTTAGTGAAGCAACAGCACCGCTTAGATTCAGGGTATACAATATCTTGCAAGTAGTCAAGGAGTCACCACAATACCAAAATCAAAGATTACTTGAAGTTAATAAAAATAATAAATGTAACATACCAAACAAACCACATTAATAAACGATAAAAAACTGATAAAGAAGGTAACTCAATACAAGAAAGAATCAAGGATACCCATAGCGTTCCCCCACCGCTCAATCAAGTTTACTGGGACCATGTAATCTTGCAAAATTGACTCATTTCGAGTGCCTCCATCAGCCTCCTTGACTACATAAGATACAGTGTCATTACAACTACAAATCAGCTTCTTCAAATAAAATCATGTAAACTTAACAACGATAGACCTTACTATAAAGGCTGGCAAGTGAGCCTTCCTACTTACCAAGAAAATCTTTTATCGGCTTACAAACTGGCTCCAGCTCTTCTTCAGTTTGGTGGTCACTACCCTGTGATGTACTGTTCAGTGTCAAGCTTAGGCACATAGGTGTCTGGAGCAACTTATTGTTGACCGATGCATTTCGAAACCGCATAGGTTCTTGTTTCGCCTGTTGATAAAAAATCAGTTGCAGTTACATAATTGATCGATACAATCCAGTGGATTTATCACTTATCAGAAAATGCCCCACACAGACACACTTTCTCATTTCTGAAGAGTGTCTTTTTCAACACAATAAGAAAAGCACCATATTTTATCATAGGCAACAGATTCCCTGGAGACCTGGACATCCCTCAGGTAATAGTCAACTAAGAACTGATGGGCAAATAAAAATGAAAATAAGGGCTGTGAAATGCCATGACAGTATAACATGTCAAACACTAAAAAGTTCTTACCAAACAAAAGTAGCGAGGTCTAGAATATGGGACACCAAACTGTAAGGGGCTTAGGATGAATTCTTGTGTGTTAAAATTGAGACTTGAAAGGACCTCTAGCAACTGATCATGTGTATCAGACACCTGGCATAAATGAACAAGATATATCCACTGTTGAGAAGTTCGAGTATTAAAAAAAAAAAAATCCAAATAAAGTATATACCAACCTCGAATCCAACTACGTTTTCTACAAATAACATTTGTGGAGGATAGCTCATGTCTTGCATGAGGTTGAGAATCTTGATGAATGAAAATGCACGAGCGTCAGCTGAATGCTTCTGAAGTCCTACACAATGGTTGATCCATGAACCAAAACTGAAAAAGAGAATATAGCACTAGAATATATATTACTGAGATGGAAACCTTGCCGTGTGTATGGCTGGCATGGAGGAGAAAGAAGCCATGCATGTGCCTTGTATTTGTCTAAGTCACTAGCAGTGAGCGCTTGAATGTTCCCCTGTAGTACAAGAATGATGCATGAACATACAGTTAATAAAACTATAACAGCATAGTTCAGTTCATTCTTCACAAGTCAAACTAAAATATAAAAACCAATGTGTAGGTAGAATGATAATATCCTTCTGATGGTGAGGTACATGACCCAGGTGCATAACTCTACACAAATGAGAAATACAAGTGACCATTGCCCCCTCTATTCCCTTGATCCCTTCAACTGCAAAGTTAATGAAACTCACCCTAATTTGTCAACTATGGGCAAGCAATGAAGAAGGCATCCTCAATTACAGTCGAGTTAGCAATAGATACTTTCTAATAAAAATGTAAAATGCAAATACACGAACAACATTATGGCTGCAGTACCAAGAAAACAGGGCTAAAAAGTGTCGTGTTATCTGAACATCAGGTGACACAGCCAAGGTTCTGACTGAATCTTCAGGTGATCCTCACAACTGCAATTTTTTCCCTTGCACCTAGGCTCACACTTAATCGGTTGCACTAGACACATATACTAGCACATTCTATCTCGGTTTCAGGACTATGAAAGAGCGTAAGATTTTGGGGTCAAAGCGGAGCGTACCTGGCAGGGGCGGTGGCCGAAGTTGTGCTCATAGACGTCATTGGCGACGTCGTTGATGTCGAAGGCTTCCACCACCTCCGCCCGCACGCCCGACGCCATCAGCGAGTACCTCTGCAAGCAAAAGGGGAAAGGCGCCGAAACCCTAGCCGCCGTTAGATTAGATAGATGACGGGACGAATCGGAGGAGAGAACAGGGTATTCGATAGTACCATGCCGCCGATGCCGCTGTAGAACTCGAGCACTCTCCATGGAGCCGGCGCCTCCATCTCCTCCGGCAGTCGCGCGGAGCGTGCTAGGCTGCAGCAACTGTTTGGAACCCCGGTACCGGTGACGTTGGCTGACAGTCAAAACTACGGTCACAGACTCACTGTGCAGTTCGCCGTTCGGTGGCATTCTATGCTGCTGTTTTTTCTTATTTATTTTATTTATTACTTTCGTTTCCTGGGCAATCCGGACCTTAACACCACTGTATTGTGTCAGTGTTTTATAAATCGGACCAGTAAACTTATACGATTATCGCGCTGCTCTAGGAGCCCTTCTACGACGTAAGAATGAGTGAACGAGAGAGTCTCCCAAAATGGATGCTCTGGCTGTCCTTATATAGAATCCGGAGGCCAGGACATGTATAAAGTAGAAGGTTCTCCTGACCGAAGGGTCGTCAGCCCGAGAAAGGACCTAACTAATTTAGCTTGCAATCTACGCCATCTTGTGGTACACGTCTGGATGTGGTTGTCGTCACGGTCCTACGGCCACGTCGCGGCATGGTGTGACGTGGTGCTACTGTGTCGGCCGTGGCGGCACTGTGGGCACGACGATGGCTCGCCAGGCATCCTGTGCGACGTGGTCTCCGTCGTGGTCTTCGTCATCACCTCCTGGTTTCCTTGGTCACCGCCTGGTTGTCTCGTGGAGTTGGTGACTACGATCCCGAGCTCTGGGGTCGTGGCTTCCGCCGGTCTCGATGGCCTCTAAGTCAAGGCCTTCGTCGTGGATCCCATCCCGTAGTTGATAGAATCATACATGCGTCTTGTCGGACCGTATCTGTCCGCTGGGCACCATACCGGATGTCACCACGTTGGGCGGTGTTGTCTTGTCTGAGCTGCCTGGCGCAGGGGTGGCGTCTGATCGGACGGGGGTAACCACTGTCCCCTCCGTCCTTGCGGGGTTAGTGTGGCGTGCCTACTCTTGTTAGAGCGGGCATGTTTGGCTGGGCTTGACCTCTCCCTGTTCCTCCCAGGGGTCAGGACGGCGGAGAGGTCATGAATCTCTTGTGAGTCGTGTGACTACGGCAGAAGGAGGGGTCGCAGACGACCCCGGCCTTGGTGTCAGACCTGTTCTGCTTGGCTCAGCTGGGCCTTGATCATTCGGGCCTTCGCTAACTGATATGTCATGGGGCGCTTGGCCTGCTTAATTAATCGGTGCCTTGAGACACTCGGAGATCGTAACCCCGACAGTAGCCCCCGAACGTTTTTGCGATCACGAAGTGATCGTGAAAGCGTTGTGATGCGCGCATGCCGAGTGCTGGTTGATAGCTCGCAGCTCGTTCGAGCTTCGTCGCTCAACCCCTTGTGGGCAGGTGCGTTCAAAGCGGTAGGTGGCCGTTGTGTTCCGCCCTGTTAGGATGCCCTGACGACGTGGTACGTGATCGTTGAGCCCTGCCGTGACAGTGTGCTGTGTATCGGGGTTCATGACCCAGGTGGGACCGATTGGTCTCGTCGACACTGTATCAGCCCTGCCTTTGTGAGAGTCGATTTTCCCGACCTCACGTGGGCATCTGACATCGGCTGTGACCTCCTGTGGTTCGTCATGCGGCGCGGGGGTCTCAGGCTGTTTAGTCCGTTCCTGGTGTATAAATGGAGGCCTTTCTACCATTTGAGGCACTCATGATTGTGACTACAAGCTTTTCCTTCGCCTCTCTAAGTGGTTAGATGTTGAGAAAGTGAGGAAATGATAGAGGAAAGTCCGAGGGGAACCGCGCGGTTCCTGTTATGCATCACACTGTGGGTCGCCGGTAACGCTCAGAAGCTGGTGGTGCCTCTTCAACGACTGGTGCTAGATGGGGTCTTGCGAGCGGGGGAGGATTTGCTCATGGTGCGCACGCACTATGGGGATCAGGCAATCCCATCTTAGGCGAGATGGGTTTTGCCTGATCGCCAAGGCTCTCTGCCTGTGGCCTTCTAGTGCTTGTGAAAGCCCACAGGTGCTCGTTCAGGCATCCTTGAGCTGGTGTGACCTCCTTGACTCCTCCTTTGCTTTTGTGCCTCGAGGGTCGTGTTGCTACAGAAAGGTTGGCGCAACATTCTTTTCTACCTTGTCCTTCCGTGGCAGTAGCAAGGCTTCTCGGGGCTTACTCGAGATGTCACCGGTGTCGTGATTCCAAATTTGTATTTTGGTACACGGCTTGGCCGCACCTGTTTCCAAAGTTTGATGGAGAGAACCCCTTTCTTTGTGTTTGCTTGCTTCTCTAGGGTCTCTTGGTGGTGGCTAAGTCATGGTTGTTTACACTAGTAATGGCACGGTCAGGGATGCCCTCGTTAGCCGAGGATTACCGTGTGGGTTTTGAAGCATCTCTTGTCGTGCGTGATCAGGGTGCGATCCAGGTAAGTATAGGCACCTTCCTTGTGGAGGCACCTTCGTGAGTCTTTTTAGTCGTTAGTTTGGTTAATCTCCCGCGGTGGGGCTGCCAGCCTCCACTAGTCCGTGAGATTCTGAGATGGCAATGGGTCGGCGACCCGAGACGTGGGGAGAAGATGATCGTGGCTTGGCCACGACCCTTATTGGGGTCGCATGGGCCCCACTCCTTTTTCCCTGACGTCCTTTTCGACCTCGAGGGATTGTGATGCCTGGCTGTAGGCACCTTCTGTTTTGCCCCACGCTGGGAGAGGCTTGTCCACCATAACCACACGGTCAGAGCGGTGCGCCTCGTTGAGGTCAATGGGTAATTCGAGTGGGACCCGATATCCTTCCCAATCGACGTGGAGTTCGACTGTGCCTCGTCGAGAGACGTCCCATAAATCATTGACCGTCAAGCCCGTCGGTCCCGAACCGCCTCCGCAGCGGCCAAAAGGGCAAGATGTCTCTCCCCTAGAGGGGGTCAACCTGGGCGACTTCAAAGCGAACGAATCGAACACGGGAGGAGATGGTCGCGAGGTTCCGCACCACCAATTAGAGCCACAGGGGCCCATCTCATCCTGCCCCTACCTCTTTTGTGGCCTCAAACCTGTCTAAGGGCTGGCCCAAGAGCGAGTTTCCTAAGCACGACGTGGGGTCATGGTTGCAGTGGGCAACTCTACGCGTAGACTTAGGGACTCCCTACCTCCTCGGTCATGACGTGACTTAATGGCGCTCGTTCGAGTGTGAACACGTGATGCGTTGCGCCACTCGGTTGCTACGGTACGGTGGCTCGCTTGCCATGGGTCCATGGGACTCATCCCAAGATGGATTCCGTAAGGGCGTGGTTCACACTCCTGGTCGCCGCCACATATACGACCCCCTTCGGCTCAAGTTCCCTTACCTTGTTTTTGCCTTCCACTGTTGCATGCTGCAATTGATAGGGGCGGAAGGTAATCGAACTCAAGGGATTTACCTAGGGGGTGTGCAGTCGCTAGTGATAGCTCGGCACCATCTCCCTCCGCCGCTATCTCTGCATTCGCCCTCGTCTTGCACCCGCCTGCGTTAGGGATTAGTGAGTGGGTATCTTCGACGATGACGGAGGTGAGGCTTCTGCGGCTCATCAACGATGGCCTCCTTCCGCCGAAGGAAGTCACCGGGTGGAGGGCCACTGCCGGTGAGGTGCTCCCCAAGCCGCGACCTAGGGAAACGGTATCCTTCACCGATTTCCATGAGCGCGGGTTTGGGATTCTAGCGTCAGATTTTCTCCAGGCATTTCTCCGGGAGCATGGCGTCCAGATGCAGCAACTTCCCCCCAATGGCGTGCTACAGCTGGCGGGCTTCGTGGTTGTCTGCGAGGCCTTCCTTGGGATAGAACCCAACAAAGACCTGTTCCGGTGGCTCTTCAAACTTAAGAGTCGGCAGGTGCTAGGGTCCACCGATGGAGCGTTGGCCCCTATGGGCTGGATGAACATCTAGATGCATTCTGGGGTGTCTCATCTCTTCCTGTGCCTACCGTTGAGGAGTTCGAACTTCGACTGGCATGGGAATTGGTTCTACATTCTTGACGACGCCTCCACCACCTTGCTTCCTTTCTTAGTCGCTCCTCCGGTGAGGTCAGCCTCCTAGGGTCGGGGGTGTGATGGGAAACGACTGGCGGAGGTGGCGGAGATGTTGGAGATCCTCAAGGGCTGAGTGTCGGTCGGTTTGGACGGCGTTGCGGTCCTCTGAGTCATGGTCGAGCGTCGGGTCCTTCCGTTGAAGCGGTGGGCTCATCTGTTATGCGACTATGTTGGGGCTGAAGACCCGACCATAAGGCTGCGGAGGAGCTTGAGGATGACGTGATCATGCAGCAGATGGCCAGGCTAGTTGGCGTAGGGGTCGTGGTGGCAACCGAGTGCGCCATCGTGGCATTTTCGATGAACCGTCGTCCTAACCTGGTGAGTCACCCTTTCCTATGTTTCTCCCTTTGTCCGTCGTCGGCACCAGTCAGGTGATTGCTGACATGGCTTGTTTCTAGCAGCCTGTCCTGTCATTCTGTTCTTGCTTTCACATCCCCCATTTTGGGGGCGCCAATCGCGCCGCCCAGGAGCAGGCGGCCGCTGGCGTGCAGAGGCGGCCTCGGGTGGAGAAGTCGCTCAAGAGGGCAGAGCGGCGAAGGCATGGGGCTCTGCTGTTGGATGAAGGTGGTGCTGATGGAGGCGGGAATTCAGAGAGCGACTTCGACGTGGAGTCGAAGGTCCTCAAGCGTTTCCTCGTCGAATCTAGGAGATCCGAAAACGGTGCTGGGTCGAGCAGCGGCTATCGTGCGGCGCGTGCCGCGAATGAGGATAGGGTCGCGCGGAAGCGCTCGGCTTCATTGTCGTTGAGGAGGCTAGGTCCGAAGCAATGGTGGCCAAGGCCTTCCGTCCTCGACTCCATCCGGCCCGTCCTCGGTCAATTCGTCGTAGTTCAACCACGAGGCCATAGTTGGTGGGTGGTCGGAGGCCGCCGCCGCCGTCGTGACCAGGGTCGCCTCGTTGGCTTTTGGTCCCACGACATCAGATGTCGTGACCCCTGTTGCGGTTTCGCTCCCGGGGAGAGGCATGATGAGTCTCGTCGTCCCCCCTTCGGTGAGTCGCTCCAAAAGGTACGTTACCCCCTATGAAAGCTCTAGTTT